TTCAAACTAAACAAAGCTTGTACTATGAAAGCTAGATTGACTAATAGAATACCTATATGCTTTTTTTGTATATACATAATTACATATTAGAGATGTGACGTAGAGATGGTCTGGAATATTGTCAAAGTCCGAGTTGAATCGGTTTGACAATTAGTGCCAATCGATTCCAAACTTAACCGTTAAAATTGCAGTAAACCGCGGCTTAAACGAGTTTGAACCATATGTTGAGTTGATCAGCGAATGTAACATACGAAAGTGATATGCAACATGATTCGATGGGATAGATTCGTACCATCGTTTTACTGTTTGTCAACGGTTGGCAAAACAAGTTTACATACAAGCGTTAAACTTGACAATACCTATACTAACCGACGACCGACGCGGCGACGGTATGACTTAATTGGTAGTTTGTTGAGAGCTAAGGACAATACAACAAACTACCCAGTCAAGTAACACTTTCACCAAGCCTGGATATAAAAAAAAATGTCCGTTAGATCCGAACGCTTACTAAATCGGTTTATGTCTTCAATTATTATTAAACCCGCTTTTGTAGGAACATAATAATATAGCTAGTACTTGTAGGTAAATTGATAAATGTTTATTCAACGCCGTGACGCATCGACTCGGTTTGGAGTCAGTTGGTAGATAAATCAGTTTTATTCGATCGATAAAGCAGGAGCCGCGAGCGCGACAGTACGACGCAAAGTGCAGCGCATCTTATGATACGCCTGAATCGGTTTAAACCACGGGCTAACCGAGTCAACTCAGTTCATGCTCAAACCGGGGTAAATCGGTTAGAAAAGTCGAGTCCTTAAACCACTATGGCTGGCTGGTCTAGTGGTTAGTGACCCTGACTGCTACGCCAGAGGTCGTGGGTTCGATTCCCACCCAAAACAAATAATTGTGTGATGAGCACGGTCATTTGTTCTATATCTGGGTGTACTTTATCTATAATATGTATGTATTTAGAAATATATAAGTATGTTTATCATCAGTCTGGTTACCATAGTACAGGCTCTGCCTAGTTTGGGATCAGACCGCCGTGTGTGAGATGTGTGTGAAAAATATTATAAAATATTACTATTACATACAAGCACTCGCTAGCGTATGCTACCACTACCGAGGCAGTCAAATTATAGGCAGTCATAAAAAAAATATATTTGTCTAATGTCTGATATTACAGTCTCGGACAGTGTAAAATCTACTTAAATATTGCACCTGTATCGGTGCGAGCGTATATTTAAACTGTAAATAAAAATTATTTCAATAAGCAATCCTAGTGACTGCACCGGCCAGCGGCAGAAGCAACGCGACCCACGTGCTGTTCTAGGAATGCTGAATAATACATTTTGCACAACTGTGACCATTGAGTGGGGCTCTCTAGGTTTATCAAACACAAGCGGAAGCGACAGCGGTTTTATACACCAAAAGATAATGTTTTTAACATTGATTTTCTATTTTATTTAGTGATCTATTAGAATAAATATGAAAAAGGTTAATTGTTAGGGAACTATTATTATTGTCCATGTGTTGACGGATTAAGAATACAGTGTCACCACCCCTATTCATCCTGTGGGTGTCGTAAAAGCCGACTAAGGGAGAAAACTACGCCGAACAACAGCCCTGCAGAGAGAAGGAAAACTTGACACAAACCGGACCGGACGAGTTGGTATAGACCAACTCGTCCGGCCAGCGTGGTATACTACTATACCACGCTGGCCGGACGACGCTTGGCCTACGCCAAAACCTCCTTTCTAAGGAGAGGCTTATGTCTAGCAGTGGACTATTAAAGGCTGTTGATGTGTGTTATGTTAGGAAACTAAAGTAATGGTTTTAAGAAGATAGTTAGGTTGTTTTAATAGGTAGGTAGTTGTAGTCCTATCGTTTGAGATTGTCCCAAGTATGTTCATTAGTTTGAGGTCGGGGAAGCATGCTGGTCACTCCATACAGTTCACCTCTCGACTCTAGTCGATCATAATTCGACCCGTTCATATTAACATTTACTAAGCCTACATACTGAGTTGCATGAAGTACAAATACCGTGAAAGACCGTTTTTTCAGATTCTGACATACTGAAGAATATTTATTTTATTGTGATGTGAGCCACTTCATATTTGTAGGCTTTAACTACTGCAGTACAACTCTAAATAGAAATATTATGTCTGTATAAATAGATATATTATAAAAAACTTCGAGGTTCCTGTTTATTAGCGCATTGAAATTCAAATTATTTATTTCAGACAAAATCCATCCATATTATTATTAGTAACAGTGTGTCTTAAAATAGTGTTACTATTAAATAAAATTATTAAGAAACTATATATATATAAATATATTTACTTTTGTGCGTGAATAGATATCCACCTCTGAGTCATATAGAGATACATAAACTATAAAGTTCAAAATTGAAAATCTAAAGAACGAAAGCAAAAGGTGTATTTCATATACTCGTTCAAACGAAGGTATCTTGTTTGATTTCCTTCAAACGGATCAAGGATACGACATCTCACAAAAATGTAATAAAAGCGTTCTGAAGTTTTATTTCTTCCTCAAGTTTTTATTATATATAATCTGATTGCTTATCCAAAAATAGATATAATATGACCCCAGTACGACATAATCATACTACACGTGCCTGAGGCCATTTACCCTTTCTTATTTTATGCTTTACTGATACCCGATATTCTTGAGCCAGTTGTGTTTACTGAGAGGAAGTTCTTTATTTGGAAAGCAAACTTTGTTGACTCCTCTTACGTATTATGTATTAGCGTACAATAATCAAGTAAGAGTATACTGTGATATTTGATACTCCTTACTAATATCTTACCTCCTTATCTAAAGAAATTCTCATTTGTGTTTTCTATTTATAATATGTATATATTTACAAATAAAAGTATATAAGTATTCTATCAGTCAATCTAGCTTTCACAATAAAAGCTCTGCTTAGTTTAAAATTAGATAGCATTATGTGTCAGATGTCCGAAAATACTATTATTATTTAGAAGGAGTACTGCCCTGTACCGTCATTAAAAAAATACTTCAATACGAGCAAAAGCCGTGCTGCGATAAGTTATTTTTTGATATCCAACAGTCAAGGAGACATATCCTTTTTGTTCCTTCATTATACTCCATGCCTTTGATGTGTTGATTAGGGAGGATAGAACATTCTAATAATCCTGACATAAGATACATTTTCTATTATTTATTCATAAGGTTGATAAGAGTGAACAACTCAAACAAAACGGGAACCACAACGAAAGATTATTTATTGGTTTTAGAGTATGATGGTTATAATAATAACAATAACGGTGACCAAATGTTAAAAGTGTTTATTATTATTATAATACACTCATTTGTTAAAACACTTTATATTCTTTTTAGTATAATATTAATTACTTTCATTCATCTTCATCATATCTTCCAGATTTAATCCCGCAAGGCAATAAAGAATTCTTTAAAAACTGCGCAGAAGGTTTCGCTGATTTCATCTAAGCCTTATAAAATATTATAAAATTTAGATTTCTTTGATAACATTCTTTAATAAAAGCAATAGTTAGAACTTTAAATACTTTCAATTACTTTGACTTTTATTTTTAACAGGTATTTTCACTAAATGTTTTTAACCGCTATCGCTTGTAGCATACCCCACATGGTGCACAGAGAGGCTTTTCTAGAAAACGAAGTTAGTTCAGGTGCCAATTCTAGGTCGAGCTTGGTTAGGCTTGTTTTACGACGTATGTGTGTGCTATGCTTTTCAGAATTCACTAACGAAATTCTCAAAAATAAAAATGTACCTAATTTTGTTTATTGCTTTACTCGTATGTACAGTTATTTGATTTTATTTGGATTCGGATCGTAATAAAATTTGTCAAAATTGTAAACGAGATTTTATGGTATTGGGGGCGACAATACAATCAGACGCAGATGGTTACCTGATGGTAAGTGCCTACCACCGCCTATGAACATCTGGAACTCAATAGTCTCAAGCGCGTTACCGCTTTTTCAGTCACCCCCCTCCGCAAAATAAGATATATATGGACGAGGGGGGGGGGGGGGGGGTTGACTCCAATAATTTCACTCACTCGATAACGAACTCAGAAGTGTGTGAGCAATATGGTTACTTATAAGTCTTCTTTGACAGGCGTCAGTGTATGTCTTAGACATGGACAACATTACAGTGAAATGTGATTTATCATTCGATCTTTGCTTAGGGTTAGGGTTGCTAGGTAAGTAGGTTAGACGCTATTTAACAGTAAATCTAGTATTTTATTAATTATTATGTAGGGATTGGTAACTATCTATACTAATATTATAAAGCTGAAGAGTTTGTTTGTTTGTTTGTTTGTTTGAACGCGCTAATCTCAGGAACTACTGGTCCGATTTGAAAAATTCTTTTAGTGTTAGATAGCCCATTTATCGAGGAAGGCTATAGGCTATATATCATCACGCTAAGACCAATAGGAGCGGAGCACCAATGAAGAATGTTTCAAAAACGGAGAAAACTTATTACTATTGAGAGACGCAGACGAAGTTGCGCGGGTCAGCTAGTATATGATAAAATTACTAGATTAACTGTTGAAAAGGCCAAATAGGGTCTTTATGCATCGTCTGAAAACAGCTTATTAGAAACGAGGCGTGAATAAGCAGTAAACCTAACCTACGTACGAAAAAATCAAATGATAAATCATCGGTCTTTCACAGTTCACAGTGATTTTGTCCCATGCTTTTTTTTTTTATGGGACTAATCCCACCCACACGCCCACCACTGTAACTCCTGTACACCAGGATCCACAGCAGTGACCCACGAACACACCGAGTTATGACACTCGGGAAGTCCCAGGAAGAAATTAAACTGTCTTGGAACCCGCAACGAAATTAATCAGAAGAGAATTGGAGGAGTTGGAAATACAGTAAATCCACTTCCCTCCTTAGCAAACTTGTCCCATGCTTAGTATTTATCATATGTCCGTATAATAAAATGAATAATTTCTTGTTCCCAGTGTATCTACGGTTGTTACGTGCACTCTGCCATCCTCCCGACCTTCCACCGGAGATGTTACTGGCTGCTACAGGTAAGTGTATGTTTCATCATTCTATTTATTACTACTGTATCCTAATTTTATAATAATGTAAAAATATGAAGAAGATGGCCATATAGAGGATATGGCCATCTTCTTCATATTTTTTTATTGTTTTATCTATAATTTCTATAAAACCTATAAACGTTTCCTAGATATTTCAATCGTGATTACTTTTAAATGCTATTTTCAAATTCATTTAACACGTCATATCGTAGTAATGTTTTGATAAATATTCTTTCAATAGTGTTTTATATTTAGGGGCATGAAAGATAGATGTTGGCCGATTCTCAGACCTACCCGATGTGCACACAATATTTCATGAGAATCGGTCAAGCCGTTTCCGAGGAGTACGGGAATAATATTAAAAACTCGAGACATCTCACACAAGGCCGTCCGTCAAATTAGGCAGAACCTGAAGTATGGTTACCATACTACTGATATACTTGTACATACATTTTTTTTCTTTTAAAAGACAACGCCCACATTAGGAATACCTATATATATATATATATCTTTACAAACATACATTAAACGGACACAAAGAACACCCAGACTTAGAACAACAATTTGTGGATCACATAAAGTGGTGTCCCATGAGGGGATAGAACCCACAACTCCAGTGTAGTCCATTGTATCCATACTTATATTATAACTGTGCAAGTTTGTTTGTTTGTTTCAACGCCTAAATCACTGAACCGATTTCGAAAATTCTTTTACCAATGAATGCTACATTACCGGCTAGTAACATAGGCTACTTTTTACCTTGATAACCGACATGCACTATCCGCAAAAACTATCACATCAACAGCCTTTACCAGTCCACTGCTGGACATAGGCCTCTCCTTAGAAAGGAGGTTTTGGCCTACTATACCTCGCTGGCCAGACGGGTTGTCATAGGGTTTGGGGTGCTGGGCTAGAAAACCTCCTCGTGGTGCACCCTGGAAACGCTGGCGATGGTACTGTTTCCTCCTTGTCCTCTTGGAGGAGAGGATTATCGCCAGCGGCCAATATTCTAGCAGAAGAGGCAGCCGTTCATCGGCTCTCGGGCAAGGCCTGGTCCAGCAGGGTGGGCGTGTCTGCCGGTTGCCCTGCTGGCTCTTCGCTCTTCGGAGCATGGAGGAGGAAACCTCGGTAAAAAACCTGATGGCGGGGCCCTGTAGGGGCCACAGTTTCTCCGCTGATAGCGGTGGAGAAAGGAGGACGGGCTCGGCGTGTACTCACACTACCACCGAGCAGGCAGGGGGACGTAGTCTCCCTGTCAACCGTCGGCATATCGCAATCCCGAGAAGAGCGCTGTGGTTAAGTCTCGCGGCTCTGATCGGAGGCGAGGGTCTTGGCTTAACCGCCCGGACCGCGAGGAAGATAACCTCTCTAAAAAATTCCCCGAATCCCGTGTTCTGGTGCGTGGCCAGGGGATGCATGGCTGATGGGAAGTTCAGTCGCGAGCGCACTCCAAGCCGAGGTACCTGCGGACCCCTCGGTTGGGTTAAAAACTTACGCTTGCCCGGGTAATGGGGGATCTCTGCCCGGGTGGACCTTTAGTTCTCCCCCACTCGTGGGATTATTATGGAACATGTTAAAAATATAGACAAACGATCGGAAAACCAAACTCAACGGAAAAAGGCAAGTCAAACGGATACGGCAACGAAGGCAAGGAGGGAGAAGAAGAACAGTGGAGCGGATGGGTCGTCCACTGAGGGTGAGATGGTGTCAGGAACGCCTATCTCGATGGGGCTCCCAGAGGTCAGTCTGACTCTGGTCTCTGGGAGCCGAAGAGCATCGGATCGGCTGCGTTCCGGATCCGCCGCTTCGTCGGATGGCGCGGAGGCCATGGAGGCGGAACGAAGCGACAGCAGGAAACGCGGACGCTCCAGGGAAGAGGGGACCGACACGTCCGGCGAAATGATGCCACCAAAGGTGGCAAGCAGCCGCCGAGGGAGGGCGCGTAAACCGGCCTCGGCCTCGGTCTCGACCCCGTCAGGCTCCGCGTTCTCAAACGCGGAGTCCTACAGGAGCGTACGAGTGGACGGCGAGGCCGTAGCGGAGGAGGAGATCGCGGATCTCCTGCTCAAGGTTCGGGAGCCGGTGGGGGGAAATGCCCCCCAGGCTCCCGTGTCCGTGCAGGAGAGGGCGAAAGCGGCGGTGGCCGTCATCAACAAGGTGGCCACCAAATCCGTGAACCTTAAGGGCTCGTTTGTGAGGGCCCTTAAGGACTCCTCCTCCGCTTTGTCGGAGGTCGTGGAGGGCCTAGCGGGCGACGTCTCTCGCCTGCAGGTGGCCAACGAGAAGCTGACGGAGCGGGTGAACGAGCTGAGCGCTCAGTTCGCCCGCTTCCAGGCGAACCTCCCCGAGCGGGAAGCCCCGTCCGCGTCCCAGCCTGCCCCTACCACCAACTCAGGGGCATTTGACTCCCAACTGCGAGAAATCCTCATCGCAGTTGGGAATATGCTGGACGGACGCCTGGCTGGCCTGGAGGCGAGATTGCCTCCTGCGCCGAGTATGCGCCCCCCGCTCGCGTCGACACAGCGGCCTAAGGCCGCCGCTCCGACCGCGCTCCCCGTAGTGGGAGGCCGCGTCTCCTACGCGGCGGCGGCGTCTGCCCCGACTCCATCGGCTCCCCAAAAGCCGAGGAGGGGGGCAAAGGCACCGGCCCAGGCGCCGGCCAAGGCACCGGCTAAGGCGCCGGCCAAGGCACATCCCCAGGCGCCGGCCAAGACGGGGCCTAAAACGGCGCCGAGGAGCGGAGTGGCATTCCCTCCGCTCCCCACTCCGACACCCCTGCCGGGCCCCTCCGCACCTGCCCCCTCCAACGAGGGTTGGCAGGAGGCGAGGGGCTCCAAGAAGTCCCGAAGGCGGGCCAAAAAGGCTGCCAAAAAAGCAGCCCAGGCCCAGCCTTCGCCACCGGTGGCAACGGCCTCCACAAAGAGGCCGCGGAAGCTGCAGCCGCCCAAAACCGCGGCTGTAGTGGTGACCGTGTCCCCGGAGGCGGCGGACGGCGGGCTGTCCTACGCGGCCGTGTTTAAAAAGGCCCGGGATAGCCTCGCTAGCGACTTTGGAACGGTGGGGGTCAGGATGCGCCTCGCCCAGACGGGAGCTCGAGTCCTCGAGTTCCCTGGGGCTGAAGGCGCAAAGACGGCGGACTCCTTCGCCGAGAGGCTGCGGGGAATATTTGCGGCCACTGATGGTGTCAGGGTCGCCAGGCCTACCAAGTGCGCGGAACTGCGCATCTCGGGCCTGGACGACTCAGTGACGGCCGAAGATGTCCGCGCTGTAATCCGGGAGAAGACGGGGTGCAGCGCGGACAACGTCAGGGTCGGCACCATCCGCCCCGGTCCAGGAGGGCTTGGCGCCGTGTGGGTCAGCTGTCCCGTAGCGTCGGCCAAAGTATTGGCCGACGCCGGCAGGCTGCTCATCGGTTTCGTGAGCGCCAGGATCACAGTCCTGGCGGCGAGACCGATGAGGTGTTTTAAATGCCTGGCCACGGGACACACGCGCGTCAAGTGCGACAGTTGTTTTGACTGCGGCGGACTGTGTTTCCGCTGCGGTCAACCGGGGCATAAGGCGGCAGAATGCTCTGCCGCCCCTCACTGCCCAGTGTGTGCGGCGGGCAATAAGCCCGCCAATCATCAGATGGGGCAGAGAGGCTGCAAGCCTCCCCGCAGTTCTCGGCAGACGTCGGGGGTTAGCCAGTCGACCCAGGCTGCCTCCGATATAGTTCGTGCGTCGACGTCGTCGCCCATGGAGGAGGTTGTAGAGACGATCCAGTAATGGATCAAGTCTCCAACCTCCTGGTCCAGACGAACCTGAACCACTGTGCCGCGGCGCAGGATCTCTTCCTGCAAACCATGGCACAGTGGTCGATAGGTGTTGCCGTAGTCGCGGAGCCCTATTCTGTCCCTCCCCGTCCAAACTGGATGGGTGACTGGGACGGCTCCGTGGCAGTCGTCGGTTCCACGACGGCTCATTCCCCGCCCTTGTCGCTAAGAGACAAGGGCACTGGATATGTTGCCGTCGAGTGGGGGGGGATCACCATATATGGTGTCTATTTCTCCCCCAACCGGAGTTTGAACGACTTCGAGGTTTTCCTGACCAGCTTGGAGACCTCGATACGGCGACTAGCGTCTGGGCACGTCCTTGTGCTGGGGGACTTCAACGCAAAGTCCATTGCGTGGGGTTCCCCCAGGACGGACGCCAGGGGCGAGGCCGTAGAGGAGTGGGCGGCCTCGGTGGGCCTCTGTCTTCTAAACAGAGGCTCCACCAACACGTGCGTGCGACAGCAGGGGGGGTCGATAGTGGACCTCTCGTTCGCTACCCCTGCCCTCGCCGCACGAGTAAGGAACTGGCGTGTCCTGGAAGAGGTTGAGACGCTCTCGGATCACCTGTATATCCGATTTGAGCTCTCCCGGACCCAGGACTCCAGTAGGGGTCACGTGGCGCGGCGTTTATCCCGCTTTCCGCGGTGGGCTGTTGCCAGGCTGAACCGGGACCTACTAGAGGAGGCAGCCATAATTCACTCGTGGCTGTCTCCTCAGGCTCCGACCGAGGAGGTCGACGTGGGGGCTGGCCGCTTTCGCGATGCGATTACGCATGTATGCGATGCGGCCATGCCCCGCGTTCGAGGTCGTCGGCCTCCAAGGAAGGAGGTCTACTGGTGGTCCCAGGAGCTGGCGGACCTCCGTGCGGCCTGTACACGTGCCCGGAGGTCCTACACGCGCAGTCGGCGGCGTCACCGTGGAGACGGTGAGGAGGACCGGCTTCATGAGGAGTACCGACGGGCTCGGAAAACTCTGAAGCTGGCCATTAGCCGCGCCAAAGAGGAAAAGAGACAGGAGATGCTGGAGGGTCTTAATCGTGACCCCTGGGGTCGCCCTTACCGCGCGGTGCGACAAAAGCTCCGCGCGTCGGGCCCCCCCCTTACGGAGACTCTCCAGCCCAGCTTCCTGCAGGAAGTGGTCGAGGGCCTATTCCCGCAGCGGGCGGAGCACACACCC